TCGCAACCGGTTTGGATTTGGGCGTGCCAGTTTGCGTGTGCCAGCAATTTGCCCGAACGTTTAACGATCTGTTTATGGGGCCTCTCGTAGGGTTCCAACTCACATATAAAAGAAAAAATAAAACCAACTTCAAAAAACCCTTTATTTTCATTCCACCCTTTGCTGGCAATCAGCTACTCCAAATCTAAAATCTTCGGTTCTGTTTTCTTATGTTCCCCAGCTTTTTTCTTTGATTTTCAAGTGGCCAGCATTGAATAACTCAAGCCGCATAAATTCAAATGAAGCACTCCAGCTGGAGGCAAAGCATACATACATATGTCGAAAGATTTCCAAGAGATTTCTAACAATAGTTGGCCCAGTACAATAGTTTTTTTTTTCTTGTGCAGCCTACCTATTGCCTTTGTCATTCAAACATTCTCAGCTTATCCGGTGATCTTTCTATCTCTTGCCTGACAGACATGAATTTCTTGTTAAGCTGCTGCAGGAGTTTTTTAAATTTTTTCTTCTATTTATGTATCGATGCTGGTGGACTCTTACAACACTTTTGCCTAGTGTTGGGCGAGAGTCAATAATTCTTCAAAAGAAATCGTTGCAGCCTTTGGGCACCCACATCCACCAACACGCTCGATTAAAGCTGAAAATATATCTCCAGCTAGCCGCCACCCCCTTTTCCATTCGTCTTTCAATTCCCAGCACTTGGCATTTCTTTTTTCTCCTTCATCGCCCTGCTTTGTTTGCTCCCCATTGCCATTCTCATTCCCTTTTTTTGCCGACCGCATTCAAATGCTCTTTCAATGCCAAAGCTGCCTCCTTTGCATTCCGACAACTTTCGAATGCCTGCAGTCAGACTTGTCGGCTTAGGCCGCACTCTTTTAGCCAACTCCCCTTACATGCACCCCCTTGCACCGCCCCTGATCCACCCCGCCCGGCCCTCTTTTTTAGCCCTTCTTGATTTGGTTCTGGCCCACTCCAATTCATTCCATTCCTCACAATGGCCACATACATGCTCTTCATTTCGAATGCTTTTCCTGCCTTCTAATGTGTACGCCCTCACTTCTTACACCGGAAAAATAATTAAAGAAGCTAGCGATGAAATAAACCTACTCCAATTTCATGTCTCAAACTGTGTCCTACCAAGTTAGTTTTTATAAATTTTCTTTGGCTACTAACTTAAAATAATCAAAACAATATTATCATCAAAACTAAAATCAAATTCGAAGTACAGTGTAGATCACAGCAGTGGATGACTGTAAGCAATAATGCCAAAAAACTATATTAATGTATCGCCTTTAAATATATATTGATCTCTATTAAATATATATTAATCTCTTTTAAATATCTATTGAAATAAAATTATACACCAAAACTGTGGCCGAATTCAAAAGTAAATATATTTATATACATTTTATTTTTTTTTTTGTATATTTTTGGTTTTCTATTTTTTAAGCTCAGTGCCGGCTCAACCCGTTTCGTGTCTTGCCAGTTATGGTAGTCATGTAGGCATTGTATGCCTTAACTCCTGCAGCTCGTAGTACTTCCTTCCTGGTTAGTTCCGGTCCCGAGGACTGAGGAAGTATGGGATCTGAGGTCTGAGTCTTCTGCAGTTTATTCGTCACTCGAGAACCAAGTTGGGCTGTCCTCGGAAACGTTTAACTCTCTTGATTGATTGCAGTCAGCAATTGTTTGTTCTTTATGCAACATTTATTTCCCGTTATGCGGTTAGTCACAGGTCTTAGACTAAGTCTCTGGAAACTCCCCCCTATATTTTCCTGGCTTTTCTCTTTTCTCAACTTTGTTTGACTATGCTAATGCATTTTTTGTGGGCAAAGTTTTTTGTTGGCTCTTGTTATCTTTAATTGGCTTTCGAGTCATTTCATTGTTGGTCGTAACAATTCTTTGTTGTTCTACACCCTCTGTGTTCAACATATACCCACAGCTATAGATCAAGTTACATATACACAACCATGTGCACAATCAAATTGACAGGAAAATACGCCTACAGACCCGCCCACAAATTTATAATTGGTTGAGTGCTATCCCCTCTTCTCTGTTAGTGTGCTCAATGATTCATGGCTAAAGATTTGATTTTATTTTCTAGTCTGGGAAATATTTTGATTTTCTATTGCGTGAAAAGTGTAAAGGGGAAGGCTAAACTGGCAATTACTTTCTCTGACTTACAAGTATTAAAAATGTTATGTGCATTTTTAAAACAAAAGACCAGGGATTGCTTTTAAAATAAAAGCAAAACATAGGTCGGGATTAAATATTAATCAACAAAGAAGTACAAAATTTGTCTGACTTTAGAGAATTAGGAAACCGAGTGCACACATATGTTTTGTTAGAAAATTATCATTTAAAGTCTTTTATTACGAACTTTAATCTTTCCCTAGTTTAATTCCCCATCGATTTCCAACTTATTGATATATTCACTGCATTCATCCTAATGAAGCGAATAATCAAGGTCCCTAGAGTCAGACTAACAAGGACTTCCTTTCACTGCCTTTTTCCCACTGCTTAACATCATCCAATAAACTTGCATCGATTAGATTCAAGTTTTAATTAAATCCCTCTTCAACTGCAGGATCCCATAATTAAAAGGTGACTTGTAAAAAACCGAAGCACCAGAGCACACTGAAAAAAGAATAATAAAGAACAGTAGTGGAAATTAAACACTAATCGAGAATGAACTCAGGCCAAGGGAATCGGTGGTTCAGTCACTCGTTTATGGTGACTTTTTAGTTACGGAAATTGATTGACATAATAAAATAATCCTTGAGAGTTAATTGAAATGGACGAGCCAGCAGCGTGATAAAGATGGGCGAAGTGGGCGGGTCATTTGATAGACAGCTGGATCAGGTGAGACAGGTGCGCAAAAAGGGCAGCTGGAAACAGAGGGTATAAAAATGGGGAAGGCGACGGGAAAAAAATTACAGCAAATAAATGAAATTAATGCGACTTTTATTGAAATGAAATTTGCCGTAAAAACGAAGCTAAAAAGGCAAAACAAAAGGAAAATCGTGAAAAAAGAAATGCTCAATGGGCTAATAAAAGTCAGAGAAGGGCGAGGACTAGTTGTAAATTCGATTAGTCGCCAGTTCGATTCCATTTTACTTAGCAACAATGTAATCTTTAAAGCTGCTTCTTCAATTGAATTGTAAAATGATTTCCCAAAAAGGGTTGAGGAAGCCTCAGCTTATTTACCATCAATCAACGGGGCAAAACAAAGCCAATAGCAAGTTCTGGCCGAGGAAAAACTTGGCTATAATCTGCCCGGGGGCTTACAGCACGAAAATTTTAATTATGCCCGGCTTAATGTTGGAAAAACTTTTGCCACGGTCAGTTTCCCTTGCCCTTCTTGCCCCTGCATCTCCCATGACAACACAACTCAAATAGCAAAACTTTCGCAACATTTTATTTATTTGCCAAATAACAATATACAAAAAAAAAAACAACAACAAATAACTAAGGAGAAAAAAAAGGGGAGCAAGAGAAAAGTTTAATTTAGAGAACCCTTTTTTCACAAAGCTCTGGAGGTTTTTCCCCCGCCGGCAACTGGGGAAAACTGTCAACCAATTTTAATTGACTCGCAATCCCCAAAATACAAAACAACTGCTTAAAAGAGACAATATCAAATACGCATTACTTTCTGCAACCAATTTTAATTGGCCCTGGACCCAGAACAATTCGAACTCTAAAGTTCGGGTAGGGAAATTTATTTCTGCCCACTCTGGCGGAAAATTAAGGCACAAGCTGTCTTCTGTTTTCCTTTTGTTATTTTTTATTTCCGTCTCAATTGCTCCACTAAATACTTTGCACAAACATTTCACAAAAGTGAAGCGAAGCGAATGTGGGAAACCAGTTTTTGCAGCTATCCGGAATCGCGTATCCCAGCTTAGACATATGTTAATTTTTGCCCAGGATGATACTTGTATCTCCGTTTTCAGTTGGATATCGTCATTTCTCTTTTTTCCTTGTTTAATTAGCTATATATGCTTATTCGCAGCATTATCAACGCTTGAGTGAGAAAACCGTGGCTAAATCAACATTTGATGGGCATTTGCGAGTTAACAAGACTCGGCAGCTGGCTTTCGTTGAGGGTTGTATGGGGATGAAATTGGTTAATCCATAAGGGTTAGATACTGGTAGAGAGAGTTAGGATTAGGCTACAAGCTAATCAAATTATTGAAAGACAACCTTGTAATTTCTGTATATATCCTTGTCAAATTCTGAGGTATTGGACAATAGAAATCAAAACAAGAGAGAACGCTATAGTCGGGTGCTCCGACTATCAGATACCCGTTACTCAGGTAAAGGGAGTGCGAGGGAGATGGAGATAGAAACTTTGATCACGCATAACTTTTTAACGAATGGTCCGATTTGAAAAATTTCTTCTACATTTCGATAGGTATTGATAAACACAATAAAACTGCATTTTTACTTTTTCGAAATATTTAAATTTTAAAAATCGTATATAAGCGATTGTGGGCGTTAAAGGGGGCGTGGCACCTTTTTGAAACAAACTTGCGCTGCGTAGGAACTCCTAGAATCTGCATGCAAAATGCCAATCTTCTAGCTTTTATAGTTTCCGAGATCTCAGCGTTCATACGGACGGACAGACAGACGGACAGACAGACGGACAGACAGACGGACAGACAGACGGACAGACAGACGGACAGACAGACGGACAGACGGACATGGCTATATCGACTCGGCTAGTGATCCTGATCAAGAATATATATACTTTATAGGGTCGGAAACGCTTCCTTCTAGCTGTTACATACTTTTGCACGAATACAATATACCCTTTTACTCTACGAGTAACGGGTATAATTAAAGTTGTAACTTTTCCGATTTATTGTAGTGCTGCCAGACATGCAAATAAGAAATGGCGCCCAACTATAAGACAATATTTATAACGGCATAAACGTTTACTTATAACTTATATCTTCAATTAATATTAAAAAAACAAGAGAAATTTTGATAAATAAAAATCATACTCCTGGAATTTGTACAACATATTTTTATTACTTGTTAATAATTTAGCATTGACAAAAGCAAATAATAGCTAAAATTCATATTGCATATGTGATTAAATTATTGGAGATCCTGTTTTGCGTCAAAGCTCTTTTCGCGGGATCAGAAATTAACGCTTTAAAACGCCTTCTACAAATAGTTTAGATCCATCGCTCTGATTTTGTGAATGGGATTGAGACGATGAAGATGAAGATGATGACGACGATGAGTGGGATTGGGAGGAGGACAGTGACTGTGACTGTTGTGACCCAGAGCTCAAGAGATTCTGTTGGTTCAAGAGATTCTGGTGATTCGGTAACTGCGAGTTAACTAGTGATCCAGAATTATGAGCATTAGAAAGTGATTTAGACTGTGACTGTGATTGCGACTGTGATTGAGACTGTTTTTGTGATGCCGAATTCTGTATTTGAGACTGACTTTTTAATGCACTGCCAAGTTGATTAAGCTGTGACTGCTGCTGTGACCCAGAACCTTGAATATTATTTTGTGACTGAGCCTGTGAGCTTGAGCCACCAAGCTGCTGAATATTTTGTGACTGATGTTGACGTTGTCGCTGTTCGTCCAATTGTTTCTGTTCTAACCTTTGGTGTTCCTGCAACTGGCGCTGTATTGAGTCACGCTGTTTCTCCAGAAGAAGCCGTTTATGCAACAGTTCCTGTTCCTTTAACTGTTCATCTCTTAATAACTGTTGCTCAATTTGCAACTTTTGAAGCTGTTCTTGGTTTTGTAACTCGCGTTGTATTTGCAATTGTTGCTGATTCTGTATTTGTTGCTGAAGTATTTGTTTTTTAACTTGTTCCTCTTTTTTCCTCTTCTGTCGTCTATTATATCGACGTAGCAACTCCGAATAATCCTGTTCACCCTTCTTCTGTTGCTCTTGAATTTGGCTTTGTAGTTGCTGTAGTTGTTGCTGTGTTTGTTGCTCTTGCAGTTGCTGCTTATTTTGTACCCGCAACAAGTCTTGCAATATTTGATGCTGCTCCTTCAACTCTCGCTTTAAGCGATTCCGTTCCTCCAAATCTTGCTGAACTTGTGGATTTGGCCGTGCATCTACAATTCCCTGTTTAAAAATCGAATTTTGAGGTAAAATCCTAAGATCAGATGGCAATTGACCAATTAACAACACTTGGGGCTGAGATAAAATCCCGAGATTAGACGAAGAAGGCTGCGGCTGTATTATTTCCGATAATGGCACTTGTTTAATTAATAAAGGTTTTTGTAGCTGTTCCTGTGATTGTTTTTGCTCCTGTAACTTCTTGCGTTGCAGCTGTTGCAAAAGAAGTTGCAACTGCATCTGAAGCTGTTTCTGTGACGGTAACTGCGACTGTGGCTGTGACTGAGACTGTGACTGCGACTGTGACTGCAACTGTGGCTGCGACTGTGACTGCAACTGTGGCTGCGACTGTAGCTGCGACTGTAGCTGCGACTGGGAGTGTGACTGTGAATGTGACTGCGATTGTGACTGTGATTGTGACTGTGATTGTGACTGCGACTGTGACTGCGACTGTGACTGCGACTGTGACTGCGACTGCAACTGTGATTTTGATTTTGATCCTGGTAGTGACTGTTTCAGATTCTCTAACTGCAACTGCAATTCTGGCAAAATAATAACCCCATTATCTTCAGGTATAGTTAAACCATTAGGATTTGGAATCTGTGGCCTAATCTCGGCCCGATTTGGTTCTACGCTCAATCTTGAGTTTAGAATATTTTGTAACTCATTTTGTAACTGCAAATTATTATTACTCGTCGTTTGAGACTGCGCCGATTGCTGGCTCTGACCTAAGTTGTTCTGTTGAATTTGTGACTGCGATAGTGACTGTTTCAGATCCTCCAACTGCGACTGCAATTCCGGCGTAATAATAACACTTTTATCTACAGGTGGTCTAATCTCGGCCCAATTTGGTTCTACGTTCAATCCTTGTATACCCAATCCTGAGTTAAGACCATTTGGCTGCTGATTCGGTAACTGCAGATTATTATTAGTCATAATTTGCTGATTTGTTTGAGACTGCGACAATTGCTGGTTCTGCCCTAAACTGGACTGTTGACTTTGTGACTGCGACTGTTGTTGGAAACTATTCGAATTTATCAAATTTCCCGATGGAATAAATTGAAATCCTGGATAACTTTGTGGTCTTGGTAGTAGGTCCACTTGAGATTGAATCTTCTGATTTTGCGGAATCGGGATCAGTTGAGGCTGTACCTGAATCATCTGCGGCTTCTGTAGATGAAGCACCAACTGAGGATGATGTACTTGAATAACCGGGGATGGCCGTACTTGAATCAAATTATTTGGAAATAGTGATGGATGAACCAAATTATTTGAAAGTATTGGGGGAATGAACCGTCTGATGCTTTCGCGAATTGAATTAAATTTATTTCCTAAAAAAAAGGATTCACTGGGCACCAACATACCGAGAACGCAAAGGGCGACGACCTGTTGATACGGCAAGCTCCTCATCTTGAAGCTTGATTCTCTTTGAAAGCAAAATGCAAAATTAAAATGTGCCTTATATAGGCCTTAGGACCATAAAATCGCGTAATAAAATAATCCATGTCTAAAGTGGATTTACTGACCGAAGATAAACCTATTGTTATGCTATTACATCACCAAAGGTTATAAGGTGATCGGAAAACAATTTTTTCGATTGGAACTTTAAAACTAAATATTATAAATCATATGAATTTTACAACAAAATTTCCACTGTCGAAAACAGAACTTCAGAGGATTCACTGAAACTTCAATTTTTCATATAAATCACATACAAATTATTCGGTTGAAGAGGTGAAAATGTTTTCGCTTAAATGGTAGTTAACTTCAACAAATTTTATTAAGTTCCAAATAACTTAATTCTCATTTAAAACACCCTAAAGCCCATTAACCATTACAACCGGAGTGCATCTTAAAAAAGTTTAAAATGAAATAAAATGTAAAAGCGGTCAAAGCTTGTTGAAAAAAACTTAATTAAATTGAAAGCATTCAACGATGCAACTTTACAACACTTTGCAACATGAATGGGAAAACTGCATGCAAAAAACATATATTGATTAATAAAAGGTATGAAAGAAAAACTGTGAAACATGAAATATATGAACTCGCGGCTGAAAATGAAATGCAGTCTCTTCAAACGGCTGACTCGATATATTTTCCGAAACTGTTTGTGTAATGTGAGAAAAGCAAAGTTTTCAGCGTGATTGTTTTGTGTTCGTGTGGCGAGGGAAAACTATTTGGCGATGACAAAAGTCAGTTTTTTGCCGAGACTTAAAGAGATTGCCTGCGGGGCGTTAGTCTATTGTGATTATGCGATGGCATTCCGTACTGACAGCAAGCCCAAGGGGCAATCTGCAGTCAAGTCAGGCCGCACGGAAGCAACTGTGGCAGCAACTTGCAACAACAACAGCACCAGCAACACCATAGTCAACAGCAACTTCAACGCTTCATTACAAAAGTCTGGCCAGGAAGGAGGCGTTTCCCAAAAGAGACCGCCACAAAATGAAAAACCAGATAGTAAGAGAAAGAAAAAGTGCAAATAGCAAAAGTCTCTTTACTTTTGCCTTCATCTTCATCTTATCTGGCAGATACAATTTTCCAAATTGCTGAGTTACTCTCTCACGGCAAAAGAAAAGCAAAAACAGTCGGAGGGAAAAGCAGACGACGACGACTGATTTCGGGTTGAAGCTCGGCAGGTGGCAATTGAAATTATGCAACAGTTTTCAGCAAAGTTTAAGTGGGAAAACTCTTTGGGTTTCCCGCAACATTATGCAATCTTCACACTTATTTCTCGGGTTTTTCCTCTTTTCTGTCTGCGAACCTTGACATAGTTTGATTTAATTGAGCAGAAGAACCCATATAATGGAGTAAACTCCACCAGCTGCTAATCAGCCCCTATCTAAAGTCCCATCAACAACAAAATACTGTTGACATGGAGTGATAATAATAGGGAGTTAGTTTCTGCCAGATCTAGATAATTGTAGTAGAGTCATTCAATTAAGACAGTCGAGACACTGTCACTTTTGACATTTATTAACTTACAATTGTTGGTGACAGTTCCTTTCGGTAGACCCATTGCATTTGACTTCTATTGCGATATGTGTCCTTTCTAGGTAGCCAGGCAAATAATTTATGGTTATGGTGTTACGTAGCCATGCGGGTATTGTGGTTTGGCCGATTGTTGTCGTTCCTGCTTGGAAAATGAGTAGAAATTGCGGTTAGTCAACCTCCTGGGGGTGACACATGAAAATTTGGAGTGGCTTGAGTGGAAGGAAACGGGAGGTTGGCGGGAGTACGGCTGGGCATCTGAACATCCTAATGAAATTATTGACATGAGGCAGACGTACCTAATTTGCAATTAGAATCGCACAGATTAGGAATCAAAGGTTAATCAGTTCCTTTTGAAAATGAATAGGTCTTCGAGAATAAGCTCTCATTAAATTTATCTCGATGTCCCATTGAGCCATTGAATACAATACTTATTGTCAAGGATATCGAACTGATGTTTTAGATATTTTATTCAAACTATTATTTTCTTAAGCTCTTTCTATGTCCACAAATGTCAATTAAGGAATAACATTACAACATTAAATAAACCAAAATATAGATATTAAATTAACCATTATTCAGTTAATAGATGTAGAGCAAAATAAATATTAATTCAAAATCTGCTAGTCTCGTTTATCCCATTTCAAATAATCTGAATCTGATCAGATTTCCGGCCGCACACAAGCAATTACCTTGTGGCGCAGTATCCATGGCACCTCAGATATATATATATATCACCATTAGTGCGTATATCTTGCACATAATTACTTTAAGTCCCCCCATCTCGGATCCAACTACAGTCTGTATGGATGGCTCTACTAAATAGTCGTGTTGACAGTTTATCTACGCCACTGCCGCCCCCCTCTAATCGCCGGTCTCCAGCTGAGCCAGCAGCTGAATTTTTCCTGACGCTGCTTCCACTTGAACTGCAGCGATATAACATGTTGCAACATTGCGCACACTTAAACACACCCTCCCCTCAGGATTTTCCCTTCAATCTTTCCCCTCATTCCTCAGTTTTGCTAACCATTTTCTGCCTCAAATGCTGCTGCTGCTGCTGATTTTGCTGTTGCCAGTGTCATCTGTCAATATTGATTTAAAATCAATTCATCTCCCGTTGCGCCAATGTCGGATTTTCTACGGTCCGGTCGCACAGCTTGAGGTTTTCATTAGCCGGGAGAATTTTTTACCAAATTTCCCTCTGTTAGCGCACAAATTTGCCGACTCTGATGCTCAAAACATTTCTAGAGTTTCGCATTACGTGGGCCAGAAAAGGGCATTGTGTTTTGAATTTAGCTATGTAAAAGAATACTTCTTATTACATAGATAGAAAAACTATAATTTTATGATTTGGGAATTGAAATATTTCGTTAAAAGTTTAGCAATAAAAAGTAACCAGAGCACATAATGTATTGATCATAAAATTGTTTAAAGGGGTATGTGTAATTTAAACCAATTAGTTAACTAAAATGACTACACTTAAACGCTAAACTAAAGTCAACAATTATAGTGGAAGAATTTTCAAAGAAAAGTCCTACGTAGGAAGTCATTTTTTCCTCACCGTATAGAAACCATTTCTAAAGTCTCACGTTACAAGTTCAAACAACCCAGACGAATGCCTCTTGAATTAATCAAATTTAGAGCCACGACGACGCACCTAAAAAGAAAATGTAGAAAAAGTAATTCATGTGTAGGACGGTGGAGTGGTAACCAATCCCTCATTCTCGATGTTCATGACACTTGTCCATCAGTTGGGCAAACAAAACGGGTGGAGGCGTCATTTGAGACGTGTTCGCTCCACCCAAAACGACAGCGATGACGATTACATGGCGGGCACTGCCAGGAGAAACTACTGAAACTACATAAACTAAAAAAGCAAACCAACCACCCAACGATCCAACGACACTGACACGAGTTCAATGCTCCTTCGCAAATATGCAAATTCCAGCTCGATGCGATTCAACTCTTTTTTTTTTATTTCGTATACGAGCGCACGCACAGGCAACTTGAAAAGCGGCTTAAAGTGGTTCCACAGCCTTGTTATTTAAGAATTACTGGATAAAAATAATGTTAACTTCGGCCTTGCACAAACAAACGAGTAGAAAATGCGCTTTTCGTATGGGATTCTGGACCCTCTGACTCCTCATTTCAATTGCATTCAACGACGCTTAACATTTTCACTGCCAAAATGAATTGCACACACACACAACGCACTCATATCAATAAATTTTCGCACAACAAAAGGCGGAGGGAAAAAAGGGCTTTCCGCAAGCAGGGGAAAAGCGCTGAATGACATGAGGACTACAAGGCCTTGGACATCGTGGAAAATGTTTTATTAAATGCATTCGCCATTGGGCACCGAAAAATAAATGAATAACGTAAAATTTGTGCTGCTTGTGAAAATTACATGCGAGTATTAAGCGAAGGCGAATATAATTCTTTTCTTTGTGCACTTACATTTTTCGAGTGCGGACTTTCGATATGGGAAAGCATTTCTTAATTGGTTTTTGATTTAACAAATTTACAATTTAATTGAAGGCAAATTGTATCGCAGTCCTATCAATTGAATTTAAATAACTTATTGAATACCTCTGTAAGCCGACTGAAAATGCTTTTATTTCCGTTGTACTAAAATAAACTTTACAATTAAATTCAATCAATTTAAAGATACCCTTTATCAGCTAATAAACCTCAATCAATATTGACCCGCAATTGGAATCTGATTGGGCTAATTTCCGTTTATCTGATTCGCATTTTTATTGGTACAAAGCCCTGATCAATTTTTAGGGACAATGTCACAGGAGAGTTGCGTGCAAAATACTTTAAATTATTAAACACAAAACCCTTTAGTATTTGCATTTTGCAAAACAGTCGAAACAAATTTTGATAAATATGACCACAAAGTTTTCTGACAATAACAGAAAATGACAATTATAAAGCAAATTGTGGGCAAAAGTAAATGAAATTAGTTTACTGGTTTATGGGCCTAATTCGAATGCAAAATGCCTACACACAAAACTTTCGTCACACATGTTGACCATAAAATTTGCATATACACAACTACAACACACAACCCTTTATGACTTATGGAAACCCCCAAAATGTAATCAACATTTGGCAATGTACCATGTGAATTTAAATTTTCGATTTAATTAAATCAAAGCATAAATTGCAAAAACTTAAATTGTGGTTGGGGGCATATGATGGCCTCAAGGAAAATGAGTTTGTTCGGCTTTTCTGTTAAGAACGTGTTGTTCTTACAAATGAGATTCCATTAAGTGAAGACAATTGAAAATTAAATTTTAATAACTGTCGGTGCGTGTTTGCTGACAACCTAATAAGGAGTGAAGTCATTTGCCTGAATGATTGTTAATTACATGGAAAACTTGGTGGGTTACAATTAGTAATAAACAAAATTAGCATACAACTATTAGCCCATATTTTGTTGT